ATGTGGGATTAGACACCGGGATTGCTGCGGTTCATGTCCTTTGGTTAATCTCTTTGCTGATGGTCTGGTTAGAAAGAAGTAATATATACTGGAAAAAAGAAGTGTATATATATTTAAAAAAAGAAGTGAAAGAAGTGATATATATTAAAAAAAAAAAAAGTGGTAGTTGGGAGAGGGAGAAACGAGTCTCTCAGCAGTAGGAATTTGGCGCCCTGGTACAGGGCGAAGAGGTTTATTCCCTTTTCCCAACAACCTGCACAGTCAATCCTCTGGAGACAGAGTAATCAATGCTGGCAGGCGTCCTTCTCAGAATCTCAGTCATATTTCCTGACATTCTCCTGATTCATCCTGATTCATTCTGTGTAAGGGACGCGGGACCCGTTTTCCAGCAGGCGACGCTCCCCACCAATAGATGGAGCCTCTCCCCGGGTGCTAGTGATGCCTGCTATTACCAGCAGCACTAGCACTGCAGGGGGTGTGTTAAAAAAGAAAAAGAAAAAAAAAAACAAAAACAAAGAAGTGATAGAGGGGGAGGGGGAGGGGATGATGAGGTGGGTAGGATGGGAGGGGTTATCCTTTATAACCATTGGGGGGTTATATGCATTTCGGGGTGGGGTGAGCGACCGTGAGCCCCCTGGTCATTTGAGGTTTGGGGGCGGGGTTTTCTAGCCCGTGCACTATGATTCTCTAACCCTGTTGATATTGAACAGGGAGGTCGCATAGCATAATAATTTCCTCAAAAAATAAAACAGGATTTTTTTATTTTTTTTTTCCTTTTCAAAACACAATCTCTATATTATTTGCAACACTGGGAACATTTTTTTGTGCGACCCTTTGGAACACTGTGACGCCCAACCTCACGCCCGACGCGACTTCCTGATCGGAGTGAGGTGGGGGCCTGGAAGTGCGAAAAGGGGGTGTTCCAAGGATTTTTAGGAAAGTGGGGGTGGAGTCCCAGGTCGGAACTGAGATATCCGGTGGCAAGTTTAGGGGTAGTAGTGCACGATGGTACGCGAAGACCGTTTCTGGGATTATCTTCTCTGCCAGTTGCGCAGCGGTGGTTGGTTCCTGATCTGGTGAACCAGTGGGTCGCGGCAGCTACCGCGCGGTTCGATAAGTTGTAGGCGCCGTTCGATCCCGGTTTGGGTTTGCCGAGTAATTTTCGATGCTTGATACGCCCAGCGCCGCTGGCACTTTTCGTACGACGTGCGGGGCCAATAGCGGGCTATGGAGTTCCACGGCACCACTGTGAGCTGGTGGTATGGGAGGAGGAGATGGAAAGGGGGAAAGCTGGTAGCAATAACGACGAAGCCCAAAGATATGTAATATTGAGTATTCTCGGTATCCAGGTAGTCTGGGCCCCGGGGATCGTTAGTTATGGCATAGTGGAAATCCCATGCGCACAGTCGATCGCGTTCCATTAGACAGGGAAATTCCGGGTTTCTCAAGTTTCCTCGCCGTCTGAGCTGTTCACCTTCCCCGTATTCGCGATACTCTGGGTCCCTTAGGCTTTTACGATTGGTGATCCGAGAGGGGGTTCTTGCGGCCATGTCCGATCAGTGAACTGGATCTCCCGCATCCTCGTAGTGAGTCAGGGTCGGGATCGATTCATGCAGACGCGCGCGTACACTGCGACTCGGTTTTCTCACGATCGCGGTCGTACGTGAGCATGCACATGAGCGAGAGCAGACCGCTCCTTGGTTCGGTGTACCGACCGCGTTCGTTCTGCATGTAACTATCCTACTCATACTATATGGGGTGAGATCAAGACATTACATTCATACCCATGCCATGCATGTGACGAAAGGAGAGAGAAAAGGAAAGGACAATCAACACATCACAGCATTCGTGGTGATCTGATAACGATCGAAGACCAATGATTAAACTCAAACATCCACAACGAGTGCTTCCAATCAGATCTGAGAGTGTTGCTCATGCAGATGGATAATCGCAAGACAAGATTGGAAATCCGAAAAGACCACTAACAAAAAGAGAGGAGTTCACATCCATTCCATGCATACATACAAGGCCAAAGCGACAAAGGAAATCCGAGACAAATTACAAGAAAAAGTCCGAAACGGCCGCAACAAAATCGGCCACATTAGAGACCAAAATTATACAAATGAGCAAAAAAAGGGACCTCATCCCACACACACACACAACTGCTCTCTCTCTCTCTCTCTCTCTCTCTCTCTCTCTCTCTCTCTCTCTCTCTCTCTCTCTCTCTCTCTCTCTC